GGATCTTGAATCACAGAGAACAAGAGTAGAAAGAAGATTATCATCTCTTAGTACTGTGTTTCTGAGCTCAAGTACAGCAGGTTTATGATAGAAAAGATACAATGTACAAGACACATTGTATAGGTAATTTCCAAAAAATCTTGAACCTTCCATGCGTGGGTTCTTAACCTTCTACCTGCTGCCTACTAATGTATCTCAGACTGTAGAAACAGTGCCGCAGAATTCAGTGCCACAAAAGGCACAGCGAGGGGAAGGTTAAGTCATGCACATGTTTGACAGGCCCAGAAGAGCATAGACCAGGCACTTACAGAGGTGTAGGCCTTGTGGCAGATGTTGCAAATGAAAGACTTGGGGTGTGTCCTGTGCGCGTGTTGAGAGAGGTGGATCTAGTGATCACCACACCACACCACGGCACCAGCAGGATAGAACGCACCAGAGAACAGAGGAGACAGAAAATTATCAAAGTCATTTACTTCAGATCTTTAGATTATTATAGTTACTGTAAGTTTGATTTTCAGAAGTATGAAAAAGAAACAAGCTTAGAAAATGGTACAACTTCAAGAGAAATTCACTTTAATATTTCTTTATGATTTTGTTCTTCAGAAGACAGGACCAGAAATAAGCTATGAAATTGGTATGCAGCTTCTGAATCAAATTTTAAAGATGGTAAGTCCCAAAGTACATAGATTGAGACTGAGTCCCAAAATGTAGTTGCTAAAAAATGAAGAAATGGAATGGAGTTTGTTGAATGAAAAGAATTGTACAATCACGTACATTTGTAGTTATTTTGCAGCAAAATGAAAAGTGTAGAAAAACAATGAAATTGTAGTTTTTGCAGAAGAAAATAAACTTGAATTTTTTTCACATAAAAAGTTAAGAAATCAGAGTTTTTCCTAGCAAACGTGATCCCACCTGCAGGCCAGCTGCGTCTCCGTACGCCCGGAAGCACTTGTTACACTGGTACGGTTTGTCACTGTTGTGTCTCTTGGAGTGGGATTGGAGGTTAGACAGCTGGGTAAAGGCCTTCCCACACCCAGGGTGGGTACACTTGTAGGGGCGGTCACCTAACAAAAAAAAAATCAAAGGGGTCATATAATGAAAGTAACGAAAACACAAAGTAGTAAAAGGCCTTCCCAACACTTGTAAGGGCAACAGAAAAAATTAAGGGACATCTAACATAATCAATAAAAACACAGAAAGGGTGGGTGGGTACTCTTGTAAGGGCGGTCATCTAACAAACAAAAAATAAAATGGGTCATCTAAAAGAACTAATTAACGAAAACAAAGAAAAGAGTTCGAAATAGAGGCCTCCCCTTACCCGGGAAGGGGAAAAATGAGGGAAAGATGGGCCCAGGTTAGAACACTGGGTCAAATTATAGCAAGGAGGAAACACAAAAATTGTTGAGGGCACAGTACGGGTGTGTACACTGTCAGACAGAGCACTCATTTGTAAGTGTTTTGAGTTAGCGAAAACTGCAAACCAACAAAAATTTCTTGCTTTTGAGAAGCCGGAGTGCTACACATCAAAGGACAGTCAAAAAAAGGTGAGAGTACATAGAAAAATAGAAGGTGAAAAAAAAATTCAAACAGTACATCTTTGCCAGCTAAAAGGAGAGGGGCCATTGCCGGCATAGCTGGAGGTCCGAGATTTTGTGTACCACTACTGAAACAGTCTGCAACATCAGAAAATACCTGTCACTAAAGTGTGAAAAGAAAGGACCCTATAGGAACTGCACCCTCTGGTATCTGATTCTTACTGTGTGAAACATGACAATCATCCCCTATATGGTGCAAAACTTACTCTACCTCTACTGTACCAGTCCTCAACATTAATATCAGTATTACTGCAAAGTATGGTAATGCTAAATGCTTGATTTTAATCTTAAAACCCTTGTCCTGCGGGACCCATATATATATATGGGTTGCACAATAGTCATACAGTACCATCTATATACATGTAGCACCCTGTATATGTACGATTTGAGGGTGTTTCTTGTGCAATGCATCCTACCGCAGCGAACAGCAATGAATACCGAAGTAACTATGCCACTGCAGGGCAAAAAAAATCAAGGGTCTGTGACCTGATTAAGGCATTAAATTATTTGAAAATATTGTTTAAGTGCCAGCAGGACAACGGTTAACATACTAGTACTTCAAATTAAAGAATGGAGAAGAAAAAGTGTGCCACATGTGAACCAGATGCCTTGAGGGTTTGGGTTGACAGGACAGAGAGTTTGCAGACTATTCCTGTAGTGTACAGGCCAAACTGTGGTCTTCACCAAACAGCCTAGCCTCCCCACCCACACCAAGAGACACAGGCAGAAAAATTAAGGGTCAGTCGTCTCAAGAGATGCTTGCGGAGAAGAATGATGTTGTCTTCTTAGACAGTCTGTAGCTTGCATGTACCTGTAGGGTAAAGACTCTACAAGCCAGTCATAGATCACAAGCAAAAAACATTGTATATTACTCATACTTACATGTGTGTTTTTTTACAATGTCAGTCAAAGGCTTATTTATAACATTAATGCTGGACCAGTGAAAGGAGGTCCTGAACTCACAATACAACTTTTATGTCTTAATATCAAAGATGAAAAAAAAAATTCAGTGGTGAAAAGGCATCATGACTTTTAGCTGAATTTGTTCATAACCAAAAGGGTCACAAATTTGAAAATCACATCACAATTGCCAAATTTGAAAATCGCAGATTATCTATAAATAATGAATATCAATTGTGAAGTTTGTGCATCAAGGTATTATGTTAAAAACAAACAAACGATTGCTGACCTGTGTGGAGCCTGACATGTTGTTGTAGATGAGACAGTTGTTTGAAGGTTCTCTCGCAGTACGTGCACTGGTAGGGTTTGATGCCTGTGTGGATACGGGAGTGTTGTGCCAGGTAAGAACTGTTGGCGAATGACTTCCCACACGACGGGCATTTGTAGGGCTTCTCCTCCGTGTGCGAGTGTCTGGCGTGTCTCTGGGCATCAGACTTGGAAATAAAAACCTGCAACAAAACAAAACAGTCAATAGGGACCTACAAACAGTAGATCTAAATAGGAAGTATGTAGAGAGACTGGTCTTTGACCGAGCTTGATAGAATACTCTGAGTCTGACTGTTTGTATGGACTGCAAACTGAGGGGTCTGTATCTACAACAGGTGGTAAAAGTCAATGCAGCAAAATAAAAATCCACACACACCCTGACATACACCTACCACACTTATATATTTTTCCAGTAAATGGACTGGTGCAGGTTAGGTTCAGAAGTTGCAAAGCTGCAATTTTACCTGCACTGACCTGTATATGCAGGTGGTACGTGCATATGAGCCCGGCCAGTGCCTTATAAAATTAAAATTTAAAGATCGTAAACAATCGTACCTGTGGGCAGAGTTTACACTTGTACTCCTTGTGTGTAAGCCTACCTGTGGGCAGAGTTTACACTTGTACTCCTTGTGTGTAAGCCTACCTGTGGACAGAGTTTACACGTGTACTCCTTGTGTGTAAGCCTACCTGTGGACAGAGTTTACACTTGTACTCCTTGTGTGTAAGCCTACCTGTGGACAGAGTTTACACTTGTACTCCTTGTGTGAGGGTGCCGGCAGCTGCTCCATGGAGCTGGGAACCAGACCCTGTTCTGTCGGCGGGGGTGGGGGTGCTGGGGACAGCTGGGTGTGAAAAAGAAAAGAAAAAGAAATCTTTATGTTGTTCCTTTTCACAGTGTAAGAAAAACTGGTCTAATAATGGACAGGTGGTCACTATTATAATTAGTAGGCATTTTCTCTGTCTTATATAAGACCATGAAGATACTTCTACACCATGTACTTATTGTTTGTTCAACGCTTAGTGCGTCTGAGTTCTGCTGCAAGTCTCTGTTCACTATAGACAGGTTTCTTATAAATTCTTGTGTCAATAGGACAAATTATCAAAGGAAACGTCCAGATTGCCCTTATATAAAGGTGTTCACTTGTATGTAGGTTTGACTGTACATGTTTAAAGTTAAAACTTTTGATCCAACACAGAAAGATCTCTCACAGAGAGCTTTCCTCCAGTCACTCTGGTCTTCCTCAGTAGACTGACCCAAGTGAAGAAGACCAGTGAGAGTGACTGGTCGAAAGCTCTAGGTGAGAGAACTTTTTGTGTTGGATCAAAAGTTTTAATTTTAAACATGAAACTACCAACACAGATGAACTTTCATGATAGTTTGACTGTGCATATATTCTTCCTTTTTCAATGCCTACCGTTTCTGCCAGTTTCTTGCCGTTGGTCTGTCCCTCCTGCGCGGCTTTCTGTCGCTCGCTGGTCGCGTTGGCGTGTTCGGCAAACTCGTGAGTCATCCGCGCCACTGAACTGTGGAAGCGTGCGTCACAGTGGCTGCACTTTTCTGTAATAACGTTACATCAATATCTCTTGTCATTAACTAGATAACAGACTTGTCATAATTTACCTATGAAACATGCATTTACTTTATTCAAGGAGGTTTATTTGAGCAGGAATTGGCAGCACAATTCTCATTGCAATGTTGTATTTAGAGCCAGACAATTCACAAGTACACAATACTTCAATTATTATACACTTGTGAACTGTCTGGCTCCAAATACAACATTGCAATATGAGAATTGTGCATTTACCTGTAAAGGATATACCGGTACATTTCTGCAGTTTGAGATGTAAGAGCAGTGATTTAGATGTAATTTGCAATTGGCATAAGTGTTAGGATTGTTGTTAAACCCAATCACATATAGTCCCAAACGTCACATACAGGGGGATTATCATGAAATCCAATCAGATATACAAACCTCCTAGTACATCCTCCATAGTCCCAGGCAGCTGTAAGCCTCCTACCCCCGCACCTACTGGGATAGCCAGCGGCTTCTGGAAAGAAAGGAATATACACATGTACATGTACTGTGTACGTATACTAATGCTTGCAACTAATACTAGTACATAATGGATATACTATCCTTGCAACTACACACATACCACACAGGTACTAGTAATCAGATATCCATAAACTCTTTGATGCACAATTCTTTGTTTTGAATGATCATCACTTATACATTTACATGTACATAAAATATGTATGGAACTAGACATCAGTGCACACAGCTCCAAGTTTTTAGCCCTGGCAACACTTTCATTTTTTACTAGTAGTAATTACATCAAGATGTCCACAAGTCCATACTAGTACATGACCACATCAATGATAATTTTAAGCAGCTAACCTGTGGGTGGAACTGAACCTGGGGAGCCCACATCACGTCCCAGTCAAACATGCAGTACTCGGCACAAACGCTAGGGGGAGAACAGAACATCTCATTCAGTACACGAAAGATCTAGATCTACTCTACTCTACTCTACACAAGTTCAACACAAAGGGGGGCGCTACATGCATGGGTAGCGGGTACTGTCAATTTTCTACGCTAAATTCAGGAAGGCAGAGGCTACGTACAGGGGTTAAGTTTAGAAGCCTACTAGTAAGTTTATGTCCAATTCAGGCACCAATTACTCTAATGTCCCGAATAAACATACCCCCCGGAATAAACATACCCCCCGGACAAATCTTCAAAGTCTAATAAACATACCCTCCGGAATAAACGTACCCCCGTATTCATTATATTCATGGGAAATGCCGCTATCATGGACCAGACATTTATCTGTGACGTGTTGCCGAATTTTGCGGCCGCCGGCCACTTGCTGATGGTGCGGTTCGTACGCCGTACGGACAATTTTTTTCCAAAACCGATTTTCCAAAAATTAATAAACGTACCGTCCCTAATAAGAATGTACCGGGTGGACGTTCGGGCCGAAAAAAATAAACGTACCGTTTAATCGGGACATCAGAGTATGATTTACGTAAAATGCACTGATTTAGTGATTACGATCGATCAAGGACAATTTGAGGACTGATCCCCCTACAAATGACACTCTACGTTATGTCGATCCAAACAACAGTTAAGTAATGTCATCTTTTGTAACCCCATATAGAAGTCTTGCATCTTTGAATTCTTTTTCTACCCAGGCTAATTTTAGAAGCCATATAATATAAATTTTTCAACATATCTTTTCGGGGAGTAAATTATCCTTCTGGCAACATGATTTCTTAGATACTGTGCCATGACTTTCTAACACATTATTCTGACCATGGGTTAATTAAATCAAAATCCATCCAATCATAATCGTAAGATAATTTTCATATGTTGCACATATGTAGCTAGACAGGTACGTCCTGGCTCCATATAGGATGTCGTACAGTTGCTATTACTCTAACCAAAATTAGATCCACTTTAACGTAAGATATGAATATTCTGTGATATTTGTTGATCTATTTAGAGCTGGTACTGTTTATTTTCTCACGTCCGCTTTTAATTACCCCATGGAGGTAAAAAGAGACCTCCATGATTACCCCAAAAATCAAAGGAAAGAAATTATGTCGTCCAAAAGACACAAAAACCGGGGCGCTTTCTTTCCCCAAATATCAAGTACAAAGCTACATCCATTGCTAATATGTCATCAGAAGAGACACAGGATACTTAATTGAGAGAAATATTGAGATAAACCTACTTACCGATGAGTTTTGTAGGTAATAAAGACATTTAAATCAACATTCCGAATTCCACGTCCGCCATCTTTGTGGTATTTAATAACATAGACGAGCTCATTTACCCTTTAGAGGGGTGTTAATTTTTTTATTGAACGAATAGTACACAAACGTTAGCCATAACTAAAACAGATTTGAAATCTACTTTGTCAAAAAATTGATATAAATTTATGATTTGTATTTACCAATGACAATATGATATCAATATTTCGTTTATATGATAAATAAATGTTTTTAAATTAAAATTGTCCCCTAATTCCTTTGTGCACTGTTCCATGAAGCTTCCGGATGCGCACTAACCTTGCGCACTGCGGATTGACCCCACGTGGAAGAAAGATTTCGCAAAGAGACTGCAACAAATTTCTCTGCACAATCTAACCTCATTTTGAGCAAATTTCACGGATAGATTTCAAGACATCGCTTCTTAAACTAACCCAGGCACAATGGTGAAGCTAGAGAAGGTGAGTTTTGTTTGATTTTTGTTGAGGAAAGTGGAGAAATCTTTGCGATCGGAAAAGACCAGGCGGCTGGTTACACATGTGCCACCCCGCACCCAGCCCCACGCTACCCCAACCACGTGCTCGCAAGTTTGGTCTGGAGAATTTGAATTTTAACATTTTTAACTCTTCAAATTCTTTTAACCAATCTATAGATTTCAATCCTCTATTGTTCATGGCATCTGGATAGTTGGTTCGTGTTAGATATTTGTGATCATGGCCAATTTTTGCACGCCCTTTCACCCTTTGAATAATTTTTGTCAAATTTCAGGGGATTTAAATTTTTTTTAGCACCCGGATTTTGGGTTTTGCCGTCTATGTTATTATACATTGGCTCCGGATTGTACAAACTGAAGCCTCTGCAATTTAGGTATCTTCAAGTAAATATTGACCATTGGGAAAAAGAAAGACTCAGGAGAAATAGGTATCAAGGGATCAATAAATGTATTTGTAACTGACCATACCACGTGCAACATCTAGCAGTGGCAACTGTTGCTACTCTCTAAACAGGATGCAGAATCAAATTCAATCCTGTTCAGATGAAGTGGGGCCTGCATGGGGGGGTCCCGACAACACTCTATGCTAAATTGTGAGAGCTTTTGATTACGCTTTACGATAAATTCCAATTGGCTACAACGCATAACGTAGAATTAAAACGGTGAATTACGCTCTACGCAAAATACGCCAATTACGGTCTTCGTTGAATGATACTTGATAGAGGGGTCCGTCTACGCTCTACGTAGAATTAACATGGCTGATTACGCTCTACTACGGAAAAGGGCTTGCGGGCCCCCATGAAACAGCTCAATCACTGTTTTTCCTTTATGATGGTAAACTATATATGTAATATCTAGTCACTGAGTCACATATGCTCAGTTGTTAATTTGTATTTCTCCACTGCTGAGTACAGAAGAGTCCCAAGGCTGCTGCACCCAAGGCCAAAGGTCAGGCCAAGAAGGGGAAGGCCAAACCTGTGAAAGTAGTAGAGGAGGAGGAGTCAGACTCTAGTGAGGAGGAGGAAGAGGAGATGGAGGTCCAGGTAGGGATACGGATACGGAAAGAAAACTTCAGCTATTTTAGGAAAATGAATTTGTACAGAGTAAAGTGCACCTGTGCTGTGCAATGTGAACCAGTCAGAATTGCCCTGAGGAAGGTGACAGACGGTCACCGAAACGTCGGCTGAATAAAAAACTTGGTTGTGTAAAAAAGAGTTTTACTCATTGACTTACTTACCTGATGAAACTATTCACGGATGTTGAATTTGTACACTTTGAAAGAAATAAGAATCTCTTACATTATGAAAAACTTAAACTGTTCTCCAACTCAAAATTTGACTCACCAGAAATTTTCGACTGAATCACTCAGTCTTCCTCAGCTATCTGACCCAGTTTAAGTTTTTCATAATGTAATTTACCAACTCAGATGAACTTTCATGCTGATGTAAGAATCTCTTGCGTAATCTTTTCCTTTGTTCTTATAGACTAACTCCAAACTAACATCGAGAATTTTTTTCTACACAGACAACAAAGGCACAGCCAGCCAAAGCTGTAGCTGTGGCAGATGATGACAGTGATGAGGAGGACAGTGATGAAGATGAGGAAGATGATGATGAAGATGAAAGTGATGACGATGAGGAGGATGAGGTATGCTTGAAAGTCTTGTCTCTTAGGAGATGGAGAATTGATGACAGTGTTGATTTTTCTGTCATTTTTGATAGAATATTGAATATTGTAGCCCAGAATGTCATGACTCATAATTTCAAAAACCTTGCTCTTTGTAAGGATGACAGTGAAGAAGAAGAAGAGGTGAAAGGTCAGAACGGAAAGGCTGCAGCTAAACAGGCAGAGGAGGAGGATAGTGATGATGATGATGAAGAAGAATCTAGTGAGGAAGAGTCAGATGAAGGTAAAGAAGGTTTTGTTAGCTTTCCAGAATGGAAATGTATCCTAAGATTAAGTTATTTTTGTTATGAAAGGTATGAATAACTAGCATATGTTTTCTGTCTGAACCAATGTTTTAGAGGGAAAGTGTATTGAAAGAACTTGACATGATTAATGTGCTCTGATTCAGACTGAACCACTGCTATATAATTTCATCATGTTGTTTAATTTTGATCCATGCAGATGAGGAAGAGACCCCAGCTCCCCAGGCCACCAAACGTAAGGCTGAGACCAAGGCAGCTGTTCCCGCCAAGAAGGCAAAAGCAGAAGGTATAAAATGCCAAGTCACTTCTAAGATCAAATTTGTTAGATTTAACCTTCAGGGACAAGGTTATAACTGTAGTTTTCTGGTAATAGCAAGGTAAAAAGAAAGTCAGAAAGTGGCATGCACATTACACACTGTCAGATTGATGCTTAAAGTAAAGTTCAATTTCTGTACATGTTCAGAAGAAGATGAAGATGACAGTGATGAAGATGAAGATGATGATGAGGAAGATGAGGAGGAGGATAGTGATGAGGAAGATGAAGAAGAGGACAGTGATGATGAAGAAGATGAGGAGGAGGAAGAAGAAGAAGAGGAAACTCCCCAGCCGGGCAAGAGAAAAGCCAAGGCAGCTGTCGAGGAAGAGTCCCCTGCCAAGAAGGCCAAAGTCGAAGGTACAAAATTGTAGATCAGATCTGCAGATCTTTATAGCTGGTATAACGGCCCTTCAGCATAACACACCAGCTAAAATCTTGCTTTACGTAATCAAGCATAAAGAAATCTTGTGTCACAGGAAGGTTAACACAACAGCTCTATGTTCATCTATCAATCAACTGAATTAGTAATCATTAAGTGATTTTCTTATCATCTTTTCCAAAAAATTATTTTTATTACTTATCTTCACATACCCTTAGCTATAAACAAAGGTTCAGCCTTGGCAAATGAGCAAAGAAGGCAAGCTGAGATTGGAGATTTACCCCCTCTGTTGGAATCTGCAGTAAGTGCCCTACTCCCTCTGCCAGATCTTGTAGGAACTGCAGGAATAGAGTAAGACTAATCTGTCTGTCTGCCCCCCTCCCACCAGGTGAACACTCGACCCTGTTTGTAGGCAACCTGACTGAGAAGGTCACGGAAGAAAAGCTGCGCAAGTTCTTTAAGAAGAAGGGGCTGGAGGTCTTGGATCTTCGGTACCTCACAAAGTCTTCAGGTGTAAGGTAAGTCATCTTAAAGAAAAGTTGAAAGACACACACAGGTACACACACAAACAAACACAGGTACACACACACAAACACACAGGTACACACAGACATGCTCACATGCACACACACATACACACACGTGTACACACACACAGGTACAAACACACACACAGGTATACACAAACACACACATGCTCACATGCT